GGGGACGGGCAGCGGAGCGGGCGCGGGGAGGCTGCGGCTGCAGCCCGGCCACAGGGACTGCGCCCAGGGCGAGCAGCGCAGCCGGGGGCTCGGCGGGTCCCCGGGGCGGGGGGCGCTGGGGCCGCCGCTGCGCCAGGCAGCTGCCGGGTCAGCCCTGCTGCAAAGGTACAGAAGCACCGTAAAAACCGGCAGAAGTAACGCAAAAGGGAGGGGAAATTGAGAAAAGAGAAGCGCTGGCAGAGCGGGGCAGAGCAGCGGAGGGGGAGCCCTCGTGGTGCCGAACACCCCGGCTTGTCCCACGCACGACCCTCCCGGGGCTGCCTCCCCGCAATGTGTGCACCCCGCCCCATCTCTGTTTCCCTTTTTGGGCAAAAGAGTGGGATTTAGGCACTTTCTCCCTTCTAACCTGTGCAAATTAAAGTCGGACTTAGATCCCGGGCAGAAGAAGAGCTCAGGGGTAATGGGCTCCCTGAGGGGTTTCCCTGCACCTTCCTGGCACCTCCAGCCCAAGTTTCTGCTACCGCCCAGTGACATCCTGGCAACGGGCCCTCAGGAAAACCCCTGAAGGCAGCACCGTTCTCATGGGAATGGCAGGATGGGGAATGTGGTGGTGGCTGCAGGAATGCAGAGCATCCTCTCCTCCTGCTGCCCCCGGGATCTGCTCCTCTTCCAGGGATCCTGAGCATCCTTTCCTGATTCCCCCAGGGTGAGGTTCCCCTCCCAGGGATCCTGATTATCCTCTCTCTGTGTCCTTGGGATGATGTTCCTTTCCCAGGGATCCTGAGCAGTGTCTCCTCCTGCTGCCCCTGAGATTTGTTTCTCTCAGGGATCCTGAGCATCCCTTCCCTTTGCCCCCGGGATCTGCTCCTGTCCCAGGGATGCTGAGCATCCTCTCCCTTTGCCCCCGGGATCTGCTCCTGTCCCAGGGATGCTGAGCATCCTCTCCCTTTGCCCCCGGGATCTGCTCCTGCCCCAGGGATGCCGAGTTTCCTCTCCTGCCTCACTCCCGGGGAGCTCGGCCGGCTGGGGACACGGGGTGCCGGTGGCCTTACCTTGTCCGCTCGGCTGCCGGGGGGAAGCCGAAGCTGGTGGGAGGCGGGGARGGCGTTGCTGAAATCTCCGGCGACTGCTCGGGAATGGGCGAGTGGGGCGTGGGGGGGAGCTCGGCGGGCGGGGCCGGGGACTGCGCGGCCAGGGGGGCCGAGGTCGCCTTGCGSCCCGTGGAGGTGCCTCGGCGAGCCACCCACGAGGTGTCCATCACCCTGACGCCCATGCTGGGGACACGGAGACCAGGGTCAGCACCCACCCGGTGGGAGGGCACCGCTAGCACCCCCTTGCCACTCTCCTGGGGTCCCTAGAAACGTCTCTGCCACCGGGAAAGTGCTGAGAATGAAGTTACAGGACAATAGAGGGGGGTGGCAGTGTGGGACGGGCTTGTGCCACCCACCGGCCACCTCTCCCTCAGCCCAGAACCAGCGCCCACCCAGCACCCACCCAGCACCCACCCAGCACCCTGCAGAGGATACAGTACCTTTGGATTTTCCTAAGGCTGCATGGGCAGAAACATACAATTATTAGAGTGAAACCCCTGAAAGTGGGCAGTGCCCAGGGAGAGAGGGTATTGCTGGACAAAGGAGCTGTGAGACTGAGAGAGAGGGGGCAGGAGGGGCATAGCAGGGACTGGGCTATGCCAGTGGTTGGGACAGCTGGGGATATCTTCTGGGAATGGCAACCTCTTTGGGATGGGGTGTTTTGTGGGGCCAGCTCAACTGTTTGAGGTTCCTGTGAGATGTCATGGAGAGGGGGACGTGCATAGGCTGGGAATGAGGAGCTTCCCTTGGAGCAAATCCTGCAGACCTTGAGGACACCAGGACACCTGTCTCTGGCATGGTACAGCCCCAGTGTCACCCCATGGGCCACCCCACTGCCACCTGCAGCGGGCTGGGGACAGGCACTGAGCCCCAGGTTCACCTGAGCATCCCCACGAGCCTGGCATGGAAAGCAGGGGGAGCACCCAACCTCCAGCAGGTCAGTGCCACCCACCCCAAGGTGGTGACAAAGCCAGGGATAGCGAATGTCCTCTCCTGCTGCCCCCAGGATGCTGCTCCTCTCCTTTGCAGCATCCTCTCCTCCTGCTGCCCCCCGGATGCTGCCAAAGCCACCCCCTCCCTGTCCCCAAGGCCTGGCAGGGACCCTACCCATCCTTCTTGTAGAACTCCAGCATCATGTTGTCGGTGGCTACGCTGAGGGGCCGCCGGGCCTGGTCGTGCTGCCGGCGCTCACCGTGGTCCATGTCCGGCGAGGGCATGGAGCTGTAGTTGGCGTTGTGGTTCACGTGCAGGGGGCTGCCGTAGTTCCCCGTCACATTGAACTCGATGTCTGGGGGTGCCAAAGGAGCAGGGAGGGGTGTGGTTGGGATGGGTGTCCCCAGGAGGGGAGGGACTGGGGGTGCTGGCACTGCAGGGATGCTCAGGGRGTGCTGGAGCAGCAGGGTCAGGCTCACTGCTGTGCTGAGCATGGCCAGAGCCCTGCCTGAGCTCCAGCAAGCAGAGAGGGCTGGCAAAGCCACACCTGGGAGCTGTGACCATCACAGGACGTACCAGGAAGCCCATCCAGCCCCTGGCCGTGGGCTCACCCTACCTCCGGGGAAGAACCAGTCCGCGTGCTGGATGAGCGGCTCAATGATGCCCACGATCTGCAGCGACAGCGTCGTCATCATCTC